AGTCCAGCTCTATCCCTCTCTGCTTCAGAGTCCCCAAGAAGACCCAAGCTGGCACTCTGGGTCAACAGGCCAGACTGGAAGAGTGCCTTAGCCCTTCGACCCCACAGCACCAAGGTGGGAGCAAAGTGGCCCCTGTGGGCAGGAAGGCCATTCAATGTACGAGGCTCTGCCCCTCAGGGACAGAGAGGAAGTATGGGAACAGGATGTGGGCACCATGTCCACCTGCCAGCAACTTCTCAACCCCAGTCAGAACCCTGAGGGCCCCAGCCCAAGGCAGCAGTTGTTAGCCACACCACGGCTTGAGCACTATCCCCATATCACAGTGACTTCCTCCCATGTCCCCTTCCTGGGTATATTCTGCTCCAACCAGGGAACCTAGAGCCACCTCAGACCTCAAGGGCCTTGGCTGAGTGACCCTTCTGCCAGTTTTCTCTAGTGAGCACCTCCACCACTGGTCTGGGCCTACCTCAGAGACCACTGTGAGGGGGCTGCCCAGCCCCAACCTAGCAGCTCTACGGCCCTAGCAGCCCTTGGCCTGATGCCTGGGGAATACATCGTCAGGGTGGGGGCTGTTTTCCCTCCTGGGTACACTCTCTCTCACTCGTCTCCTCCCTGGGCCTGTGAGCTAATCAGAGAGAAGGAGGGGGAGGAGGGGGACGCTGCTTGCCTTCCCCGTTATCTGCAGCAATCCACGGTGACTAATGCTCCCAGTTGGTAAAAAGGCAGTGTAATCAAAACACTTTTTTTTTTTAGTCCTTAAAGTTAGTCATTCTCCCAGAGTGGAGGAAAAAAAAGCTACAGCAGGCTCCATGAGATGCAAGCCCAGAGGCTCCCACTGCTGGGTGGGACTAAAGCATTGGCCGCTGAGGCTTCTGCAGGTCTAAGGTCAGTCCTCCTCCTCTGGACCCATGGCTATCCTTCCTCCACACCCTCATTTGTTCTTGCTTTCCTTGACATCTGGGCTGCCTGGTCCCTGAAGGGCTGCCGTGCCAAGCCAGGGCCTGCCCTTTGCTCCCAACCCTGCCAGGTACTGCCATCTGCTGGTTGCAGGTTTCCAGAGGGGAGGAAGCATATAAAAGCTCCCAGGATGAGGCGGAGCAACAGTCAATTCCTTCTTAGGTGCCTGGTCTGTGCTGCCAACCTGGCCATTCAGTCCATGCGCTTCTTATGACCCCATCTCCTTGGTGCCTTGGGACCTCGCTGTGCCTCAATAGAGCCATCGATTGTCAGAGGCAGGAACCTCAGGAACCAAGGGGGGGGGGGGGGGGGGGCGGGGTATACCATAGTGGTGAAAAGCACAAGGGTCAGAGCCAGGACACCAGGTTGGAATTTCTGCTTCACCACGCCATGGCTGTGTTTTAGCCCCCGCCTCTGTAAAATGATAATAATAGTAGTACCTACCTCATAGGGTTGTAAGAATTAAATGAGAACTACTTACTTACCCAGTATGTCATGCGTGCTCAACGAGTAACTCAGCTAAAATAATGACAACATTTTAAAAAATGACATATATACATCACATGTCCATGACTGGGCCAAGACAGACATTACTAATCAATCACAGAACTCTCCCACCAATGGTAGATTCTCTAGAATCCTCAACACAACACTCCAAGCAGGTAGCAATGAATGATCCAAGTTAGCATATGGAATGACACCCATTTGCCATTCCAGATAGAACCAGGAACCTTTACATTGTGACCAAGGATGATGAAGCCCTAAGGAAGGAACAGACACCCTCAAGCCATTTGGAACCAGAGCCAGGGCCCTGACTATTCCTTGCTGACTACATTAAAGGTTTGAGCACAGTCCCAGTCAGGCCTCAGGTGACTCCTTCCCTCCCATAAGATTCATACCTAGCTTCATCTCTGCAACAACTTCTCTGGGCTTGTCCCTCTGTTAAGGACCTGCTTCACTGGCCTCCTCTATTCACCTATTCCCAAAAGCCTGTAGAGTCAATGTGACAGTGGACTAAGAATTTGAATGTGGGAGACTTTGGTGATGTTATCTTGTCATTCATTTATAGAGGAGGAGACCAAGGCCAGGAGAGATGTGACTGAGGTCACATTTTGTCTGAGGTCAGTCATGTTGTCAAATATGGAACTAGAACCTTGGTATCCTCCAGTCTTTTAGTCCAGAACCCATTCATTCTCATCCTACAAGATGTGTCTGCTACCTCCACTCCCATCCCTGAAACAGACTTCCCTTGGTATATGGCAGGCTAACATTTTTGGAAATATTTATCATTGCAGAATCCCTGAGGAAGACAGAGTATGGGAGAAGGCAGGATGTAGGTGGGGGAGCCATCCACAGGTGCTAAAGCACCAGGAGACTCAAAAACACACAGCACCCCTTCCATCCATTAAATCTTCTGCAAGGCTGCAAGGACTGACCATTCTCCACCCATACTCTCTACCCAGGCTGCCCTTTGGGGACTTCTTTTCTCTCCAAGGCTGTTCTAGTGTTCATGTTGGCCCATTTCCTGAAAAATAACATGGTGATGAAGCTGATCTATGTGATGTGCTTGGGGAGCCACCTTTCACTAGAAAACTTGTTTGAATCAAACTGTGAACCCTTTTGAGTGGAAACAGAAAACACAAATTAGAGACTTGCCCCTATGTCCCACACTCTGAGCCCTCTACTGCACCCTAGTATGTCAGAACAAATCATATATCTCTTATTGTCTAGATCACTGCCTTGGTTGCTCCCCAGGCAGCTTATGAAACAGTTGAGGGTCATTTGAAGAATTTCAGAAAGCAGGTCTTTGTGGGGGCCAGCATGGACATCACTGCCAGCTCTTCTCTCTCCTTACTGGGCCTCAGTCCTCTTCTTAGCCATGGCAAGTTCCCTCTGTGTGCCCTCCACACCCCTCATCTCAGATTCAGCTGGCCTGATTCCACCTCAGAGCTTGGTTTCCACAATGGCTCCTCCTGGAAACCTTCACTATTGCCCCACATGAGACTTAGGGGTCCCCTTACAGGCTGCCCTAGTCTTGTTATATCCCTTCCTGTATTATTACTGTAACTGCCTGTTTACTTCCTTCTGCAAGAAAGCAGCTCTAGGAGGGCAGAGGGCAGGATCAATACTTCTTTTGTGTGGCTGTATCCTTAAGATTTGAAAGATCCTGCAAAATTGCAGGAGCTCAGTTAATATTTATTAAATGAAGGCATAGAAAGAGTGGGACCATTCACATCATTGGGTCCTGTAGAGGAGACCACCGAAGGGAAGGACCAGCAGCTAGGGAGCAATCCTTACTCAGAGTCTTGTTGAGTAGATCTACATAATATTTCAGCCCACAAAGCACCTATTCTATTTGCATTTGAGCCCTGGGCCACCCTGAAGGAGGGAAAGATCTATTTATTGTAACACGCAATGCATGTGTGGAATATAACATTTAAAAACTGGAAGAGTACAGGGCAAACTGAGTCTCCCTCACACTGTGTGTCCAATGGATCCTTACCCCATGGACACTGCTCCCCAGTCTCAGGACTAGAAACCTCAAGACAGGTGATGAGCCTGTTAAGGACCCTTATTGGGAAGCGGAAGAGAATTTTGTGAGTCGGTGTCGACGGCTGAAAACGCCTCCAGAGGTCCTCCTGCCTCGGCGGCAGGCCGAGCCTCAGAACCCCAAGCCTGGGCAGGAGAGTCGCCAGCAAGGGAAACTCCGCGGCCGACACGCGGCGGCCAAAGGGTTAACCCGCCGGGTCCCGCCCTCCTGCCTGCCTCTTCCGGGCAGAGGGGGCGTGATTGCGTCACTTCCTGGAGACTGTCTGAATCCGGAAGTGATCCCAGAGGACCGAGTTGCGGCGGAGGACCCCGGCGGGCGGCCCAGGTTCGGGACCATGAGCTGGTGAGTGAGGCCGGGGCGACAGGGGATGGCTGGAGCCGCAGCCCGCCGTGCGTCTGGCCTCTGCGTCACTTCGGAGTCCCGGCACCCGCCCTTCCTGCACCGACCCCTCACCCCAGAGCCGGCCCGAGAGCCCCAGCTCCGGGGTCGTTCCTGGAGAGCCGCCTGCTCTACGCAGGAATCCCAGGGATACGGGCCGGGGGATGCCCTCAGCCTGGGACCCCGCGTCTGATCCTGTTTCCTACTCTGTCTCTTCCAAGGAGCCGGACCCGTTTCCTCCCATCTCCTTGAGTGAGGGACTTCCTTGTTCTCTCTTTCATTAAGTATCTGTTGAAGTAGAGTTGGTGTCTTCTTTGGCCCCCGAGAACATCTCTCCACCGCCGCCCGCCTGCCTCAGATTAGTGAACAAAAACTACTCGCCTTCAGATAACTGGTTTTTGCACCACTTTACCGTCTTCAAAAGATTAAAAGTGAATTTCCTTTGGAAGGGGCCAGAATGACAATCTACATTCACCCGCCCAGTGTGGGATTGGACTAGGTTTAAGTCTTTTCCGGGGCCATGACCCACTACTCTCCCTCTAAAATAGAAGCTTTGAACCTTAAGGAAACTGAAACCATGAGAATAGATGCCAAGGAGTCTTCAGAGTAGTGGAGTCACTACTCCAGTTGCCGCAGAGTTCTGTGATATTTGGGTCATGGTAGACACTTCATAATGTTTAGTGATTGATTTATTTTGTAAGATTCAGTTCGCAATCCCTGTTACTGGGTCTGGATTATTTACGTCCCCAGGAGACAACCATGGAGCTTCCTTAGAGGCTGCCTTGTGAGGGCTCTTATCTTGCCATCAGGCCCAAGAACCTGTATATTCACAACACCTGAACCTCAGGAGATCCACCTCTAAGGCACTTGCATGAATAATTTGACCCCCAGAAATGTGCAAGATGAATTAAAACCCAGTCACACTAATGTAGGGAACATGCTCAGAGTCTAACTTGTTTGTGCAAAGTGAGTGCATGATAATCAGTTATGAATAAATGAAAATAGTAGATTATCCTTCAGGAAGGATTTTGCCCGCTGATGTTCGGCCATCAGCAGAGACCCACCCCTGGCCACAAGCAGCTGATGTCAATCAGTGTCCAGGCTAGCTCTCTAATATAATATTCAAACCATTTCTGACCCCTCCTCCACCTGCTTCTTAGCCCAAGATTGATGGGCAAATGTCAGACAGTCAGCAGCAAGAGAGGGAAGCCTGGAGAAATCCCCTGATAAGCCCCAGCTGGAGCTGCTCCTTTTCCCTCCGTCTTTTTCTGCAGGAGGCCAACAGGGGCTGAACCCTAAAAAGGTAACTTTTCTTGTTATAACCTGGCTAGTGATGGGCAAAGTTCCCTTTCTTCAGTTCCCTTAGAGAAATTTCTTTCTTAAAATGTTGGACTGGGTCTCCCAACCTTGTAATATACCGCTCTTTATGCAAAGTGTACAATATGCATAGAACATCAACATTGGAAATTTCTCACTGTTACATTCTGAAAGCCCAGCCTACCCCAGAACAATGGTTATCCTTTGTGCCCCTAGGCCTTATAAGTATGATAAGGTATTATCTTGTCCTCTGCATCCTGAATCTTTGGAGTTCTCTTGCCAGATTTTTTAAGTAAGAAGCAGAAAGTCACATGCTTTATGTTGTTTTGATTGGCACTTACAAATTAAAAAACTGAATTCATCTTTTCTTCTCTAATTGGAAGAACAATAGAACAGAGACCACTGAAGGTAAATTATTCTCTGGATGAGCTGAGGCAAGTTGTTTCCTCTTGTCTTGCAGAAAGTTTCTAATCTGAAAAACTAGCCCCCCATTTCCTAAAGTCCATGAGGTTGGAGAGAATTGAAATTGGCAGCTGTCTAACAAATAGGAGCTGAGATTTTTGTGAAGTAGAACTAATTTACCAGTATATGCACATCTTGGTATCTCCTTGGACTGAGGGTCACAACCAAAAGGGTGCTTTGTCCCTCAAAGCTGAGATTCCTTTCTTTTCCTCCTTAGAGGGCGCCGACGTCATATCTTGCGTGGACCCTGACCCTCTCTCCATGTGAGGGGACCAGCACCGGCGCCTGGGCACACAATTACACTCAGTTCCTAGCTCAATGGCTGGCAAGGGGACCAGGGCTGGGTGCTTCTGATTCATTCCCAGAGTGGTTTTCCTGCTCCCAGAATGAATCCATCCATTCATCTGAGACTGGAATTCTCAGTAGGGGAAGAGACCAGAGTGACGTAGAGACATCATGGGAGGCTGATGCCCAAGGTCAAGTTCACCAAGTACATGGGCTATGCCAGCCATAGTTAAATAAGGCCTAGGGGCACATGGCCCATGGTCCCCAAAGGGTAACCATTGTTCTGTTATAGGCTGGGCTTTCAAAATGTCACAGTGAGAAATGTCCAATATTGATGCCCTATGCACACTGTGGACTTTACGTGAAGATTGAGAAGGTTTTGTTCTCTGCTTCCTCTGTGCAGGCAGCCCGCCCACCCAGTTTATTTAGTGGGTACCTGCTGCCTTACTGCATTATCTACCCATTTGCCTTTCAGCAAGACAACTCAGTGATCTCTCTTACCAGGAAGAAAGCATTCGATATTCACATCTTAGATCACTGATTCATATCTTGACCCCAAGCCAAATGCTTTCCCCTCCCTCTCCCCCCTTTTCTCTCTCCCTTCCTCTCTCTCTCCCTTCCTCTTCTCTCTACTTTTGTATGTTTGTCTTTATTATGGAATGGTGAGAGAATTAAGTAGAATTAAGTGTAATGATCTTAATCTAATTTAGCTGTCTCCAGGAATAGTAGCCTTCCCTGGAACCATATACCTAGATGATCTTATGACAAGAAAGAACACGGGAGGAACTCTTCCTATATCTAGGGGTCTGGTAGTTTGAGAAAGAAGGAAATTAGAGGAAGTACAGAAAAGTTTGGGAGGTAGAGTGCTGTGTTCAGGTTCTGGTTTGGTTGCTCACTGTGGCCCATCAACCTTTCTCTGTGTAGCATGAAATAGATAACCCAAGCACACAGTCTGCTGTCCTAGTGGCAGAGTTAAAAGAATGGAATCTGTCTGCAGATGTAATCCCTTTCTGAATATAGGCTCTAGTTTGCCCCTTAAATTTGGGTATTCCTCAGGTTTGGTCTGCAGCTCCCAATCCACCCTGCAGTCCTGAGGGTAAACAACTGATATTCTACTGCAGATTGTGTTGCTAAGGTGGGATGTTCTGTAGGTTAGGTGTAGTAAATGCATTTCTCATTCAAGATCTTTTTATCTTAACAGTGGGTTTATTAGGGTGTAATCCCATCATATGTTGAGGAGCATCTGTGTAATGTGATGCATGTAGATGATTCTCAACAAATATTTGCTAATTTAATGCTTATTAAACATTTACAGTATTCAGAGGTCTCTGTTAAGTGTTGGGAAGGCATTTGAAAGATTATGAGTCAGACCCTGTCTTCAGCCAGTGTCTGCAAAGTGCTAGGGAGTCCAAGGAAGGACATCTGATCACTGAATGTCAGCATGGTTTCAACAAGAAGGACTTCAAGTGGGAGATAGAATTTTAACTGGACTGTGATTTATCAAGCACATACCGTTTCCATGGCGAATGAGAGAGGGATCTGGCTACCAGAATGGCATGGAAAAGGTGTGTGCAGAGAGATGTATTGAGAGTATTTGGCGCAGACAGTCAGGAGGCCAGTTTGGATGCAGTGAATAATGGTTGAGCAGAGGCTTCATTGGTGAGAATTGGCATTCTTAGCTTGGGGCACATTTATAGTGCTTTCAGTTCCATGCTGAGAAATTGAAATTGAGCCTGGCCTTTGGAAAATTGAAGGTTCTTGAGCAGGAAAGTGGCTTAACAAAAGAAATGATTTATTCAGATTATTTGGCAGTAGCCTGTGGGACAGCTCAGAAAAGAGAAAGAAAGGAGCCAGGGAGGCCAACTTGGACCAAAACTTCCAAAAAATGTTGAGCACACTTGCGGTTAGAAATATCTTTGGACATTACAACTCACATGCATGCATTTCAGTATATGTGCAATATACCCTAGTATGTTCTTTTTTGTGTGTTTTAAAGAACAACTCACCTCAGTTACTTTTATGACTACCTTTGATATGTGTATATAATGGAATAATGTAGGTAGACTAAGTGATCTGTGTGCCCTGGCTTCAAAAACCAGCACTTGGGGGGGGGGGGGCACAGAAGCTATGTGATACTGTTCTGCATGGACCCCAGTTAGAAAAATAACTATTCAAACTAGAAGCTAGCTTTTGATTCCAGCTAGCTAAAGATAGTGTTGTTAGTTTGGTTGCTTTTGAAGGGTTAAAATGAGAAATCCAGAGGGGTAGTTGAAAAGAACATTTATCCAACACTTTCCAGAAAAGAAAACCATAGGGACAAAAACCCATACAAAGACTTCAGTCTCATTGAAGTTCTGACTCTATTGCTTAAAGACCTGAAGCAAGTATGGCTTAAAGTTTGAATTTGACAAAGCCATTTGGTAGATCCGTGAATAGTTACTATATATTCTCTATAACTTTTTGAATGTTTGCAGTATTTCATACTTTTTTATTTTTTTTGATCATCACCAGGGCAGACCTCACTTTCCATCGCATGAGAATGGTTGCCCTCTGGCCAGGGCCTGCGATGATATAGGGAGGGACCAAAAGTCCCGCGATGATATAGGGAGGGACCAAAAGTCTGTTTCCATCCTCAGCCCTGCTCCTTTTACCTCCTGCTTCCCAAGGGCCATACTTTCAGCGGAGAAGAGGGAAAGGGTAGTGTGGGAGCTCTTCATCAGTTCCTGGGGGTAGGAGACTGAAGTGAGAGTGAGATTAGAGAGAATGCCTTAGAAGTGGCACTGCTGGTCTGGTGCTCTCAGAGTTCCACCTGGGCACTGTGAGCCTATGGGTGGAAATGAGGCCATCTGAGCTTTTTCTCTTGCTTGATGAGTAAGCAGAGCAAGCCTGTCAGCTCCGAATGCCTTATGTTTTCTTCTTATAAAATGGGGAAACCCGTTTCCTACCCCTCAAGTCTTAAAGATTAGAATAGAATAGGTGACAACTTGTCTGTCAGATACTAAGAATCTCCTGCCTCCTTGAATTTCTTGTCCTCCAGGTGTTGCTGCAGCAGCCTTCACATTTCTGTCGCAAATTCTTCCACTGTTCAGGAGGAAGTCACCACTCAGGTTTAAACAGTTGTATAACTTGGGCCTGGTTATGATGCATTATGGAATGGGACAGCTGCTTGTCCTTAAAACAGAAGAAATAGTTTCAGATTTCCTAACCATTCACTGCAGTATACTTATCTCTTTGTGACTCAGTGCAGTCACCCCTTCTGGGCCGTGGTGTGATCTTCCTCACCAAAATACCCTCCCCCACCCTCACAGCAAATCCTTACAGACCACTTACTGAAGCTTGGGTGCTGTTTTAAGCATTAAACTCTTAACCTTCACAGAGACCTTGTAGAGTTAAGTAGATTTTCATCCCACTTCATAGACGAGGAACCTGTAACCTGGCAAGGCGAGGGAACTTGTCTTAAGTCTCAAGCCAGTGATCAGCAGAGCTAAGATTTTAACCCCAGCACTATGGCTCTGGAGTCCATCTTCATCCAGTGAAGTATAGGAGGGGACCACTTCAAGTGAACTGATGTATCAGAAGCATAGGATCTGGCAATAGTAGATGCTCAATAAATGGTCACTTTAATTAGAATGTCCCCTGACTCTCACATGACCTAACATCGTGTGATTCATTCTGTCTGCTTTTCAGAGGGCATCCTGGGGAGCCATGGGGAAGAAGGGATCACAGCTGAGCCCAAGGATTGTTCTGGTCACAGTAACAAGTCAGCCAAGTCACAGAGTCATGCCTTTTATTTTTAAACACACATGCAACCCTCCTCGGACTGATGGCAGGTCAGGGTCATGTTCCATGTGCTCTGGTTTTGAATCCAGTTAATTAGGCCAGAGGCTGTGGTCATGGGCACTGAGATGAATGGTTTCAGCTCAGGTCACTGCCCCTCTGAGGGGGTCTCTTATGTCCTCGCTCAGACTGAACTTTCCCTGGCCCTTGGCATTGCGGCCAGCTGGCCCTTCATCTGGAGAGGATGGATCCAACAAGCAGCTGTTCCACCGGAGCCAGATGACTACATAAGCCCTGCCTGGCCCTGGCCCTCCTGCTTTCTCTCTCAGATTTTTAAGGTGGCAGCCTCATAGGGCCTGAGACCAGAACAGGTGGCAGCCGGAGGACAGAGCCACAGAAGGACCGGGGGGGGGGGGGGGGGGGGGGGGCCGGTCCTTGTAGCCTGCAGAAGCTGCTGCCTTT